CATGCACATAACAATTTTTCTCGATTGGGTCTCTTGATGAACATTTTTTATTTTCTACTTTTATTTTCTTTTTTGTATTTTATTATATTTCTATATTTTTTTGGTCTTTTCAAAAAATAAGAAATAATAAACATGATAAGATACAAAATAAAAGCAAATAAAATAAAACAAAATAGGTAAATTTTGGTTATTACATAGACAAAGGTTGCTTCCTAGCTAATTGCAATTTGAGCGGGAAAAAGAGACACGTGGTGGCATTTTGTAAAAAATGATGTCATTTCATAACATGTGTAATACATTTAAAAGACTCTAAAAGACGTGGAGTGAGACTGTTCACACAAGACTCAAATAACTATGGAACATCACGCAGCTTGCACTCGTTTAACTTCTTTGCATGCATCTTGATCGTTGGTTTGGTAGTGTGCATGGCTCATGGTTGCTTGATGCCGCATGATTCTCCATCAGCTCTTTCTAATATGTTTTAAAATGTTATTTTTCATTTACTTTTCTTTTTATTTCTTTCTTAGAATTTGTGCCAGTGCTAGTTGGCTTGTTTTTTCACCCTTATGTTTTAAGCTAATTTTCTTTTATGCCATTTGTTCTTATGTCATGTTATCTATTTGCCCCTCCATTTGTTTCCTTTCGTTTCTATCCTTTTTGCCCCTTTTGGTATGTTTCTTTTCTTTTCCACAGCATTTAATGGTGATACGGGGATTGTGTTTTGGTTTCTTTTTGCCTCCCCTCAAGCATTCGATGTAGAGAATTGCCCGACTTAGGGCCCGATGAATCATTGATCTACATGATGTTTATTTTGATTTGCTCTGTCTCGTTTCTTCTCTAATATTTATACTTTCTTAAAAAATAATCTTCTCGGGACTAAGAGAAAAAATTCATCTATGAATATTTATAATAATTTTTATATCAATTGTTGTTTTATTTTTTAATACAATATTATAAAAAAATATTAAAGTATTTTTAAAATGTTAGATTAAATTTTTTATTTAAATTATTGCAATTTTTTATTTTAAAAATTAATTTATAAAAAAAGAAAAAATTTTGTTCTTTAACTACAAAATTTATGAAAACTATAAGAAAAATAAATTAAATATAAATTTTGATTTTTTTAAAAAAAATTGATGATTTTTTTTTTTTACTTTTTTAAATATATTTTATTAAATCCGTAATACAATAGAAAATATTAAATTAAAATAATTTTTTAAAATTAGTTTTATCCATTCGGTCCGATCCACGACATAACACAACAATTAACTAATATATCTAAAAGATATGGGGTTGTGGATCTGTTCATAATCCCGTTCACCTCTTTTTTTGTATATATATATATATTGTAACACAAGCATAAGAAAGCATTTGTAGTCCAATGGTTAGGAAATATCGTAAATGTTATATAATTGTTAATTTATATGGAAAAAAGTAGCGATCAATTTTTAAAAATTTTAATACCTAAATAAAAAAAGAATATAAATTAATGAAACAAAACAAAGAAAAACAGAAAAGGAAAAAAAAGAGCACGAGTAATGCATTAGTTAAGAGATTAAAATAAAGCTGAAAATTCAAAAAAAAAAAAAAACCTAACTTGATGGAAAAAAATAAAGGAGGAGAAAAAGAAAAGACATGTATTCACAATAACTTGAAAAAAAAAAAAAAGCAAACAAGTACTCGAAAAAAAAGGTGAACTGTGGATGAAAAAATTTAAATAAAAAAAGAACATAATTTGATGGAAAAAAACAAAGGGGGCAAAAAAGAAAACTTGAAACCAAAAAGAAAAAGAAAAAAGGAAAAAGTGAACAAGTATTCAAGGAAAAAAAAGAGATAGACGGGGTTGTAAACAATCACAACCCCATGTCTTTTATTTTTTCTTTGCTTTTTTTCATAAATTTAGGCTCTTTTTTTATTTTTTTAATTTTTTCGAGTTGTTTTATTTTGGTCTCTCGAAATTTTAAAATAAAAAATTTAATCTTCTAACCGATGCACTACTCATTTCTTTTCTTTTTTTTTCTTTTGTTTTTTTTCATCAATTTATGTTCTTTTCTTATTTAATTAAGTGTTAAAATTTTGAAAAATCAATCATTGCTTCTTTTTTTCATACAAACCGACAGCTTATATAACAAGACTCATGCCTCTTTTTTCCCTTTGCTTTTTTTTTTTCATCAATTTATGTTTTTTTATTTGATTAGGTGTTAAAATTTTTAAAAAATCAATCGTTATTTTTTTCACGCAAACTAACGATTGTGTAATATATAGAATATTTTTTTTTATATTTATACGATATGTTTCTAGATTTTAGAATAAATATAAAGTACTCTTATTATTTAAAATTGATTTTTTCGATAAAATTGTATTTCATAATCTCTTACAAAATGAATTTTAATTAGGGATATTTTTGAAAAGTACACCAATTAAAGTTTTAAATAGATAAATATTTTGAAGCATATATAAATAGAAAAATAGATGATCTCTTTGAAAAGTACTTCCCGCTATTTGGTTTGAGAGTCTCAAGATGGAAGAAAGTTAGAAATCTGTTGTGATATGTAAGAAAATTAGAATTTTTTGTTGTTTTAATTTTTTTTTAAAAAAACCTAAAATTAGATATAGTTAAAAATTTCAAAAAAATCCCATGTAATAATGCAAATGAAATGGTATTGAGATAACTAGTACATCTCGATCGCTATTTGGTCGAGAAATTCGAGATGGATCTAGATATATCCCGTGTTTGGATATTTTCTCTTGGGAGGAAAGAAAAGAAAAAAAGAAAGTGAGAGGAAAGAAAACTATTTTTCATTTGTTGTTTGGATAAGAGTAGAAATGAAAGAAAAATGGGAGGAAGAAAAACTATTTTTCACTTGTTTGGATAAGAGTAGAAATGAAAGGAAAGAAAGTATATTTTCTTTGTTTAGATAATTGTAAAAAGAGGAAGGAAAAAAAATATTATTATATATTTACTATAATACCCCTATGATTACATTTCTATAGTTAAATACTTATAATGAATTTATATAAATAAATTTGTATGAATATTTTTTTCATTAAAATTGCACAAATGATAATAAAATAAAAATCTAGCATGTGGCATCTATCTAAAATAATGAGATGGACAATAAATCGTCTCCATAGAATAATCGATAACCGTTTACTAATTAACATGTAATATAAAATTAATTTCTTAGTTTACTAATTAGCATATAACATCCGAAATCTAGCATTTTAATTTTTATGACTTTTACTTAATACAATTATAATAACATTATATAACATCATAGAATTTTTTTCAATCAACATTATTATCGTGATAAATCACACACAAGACATTTAATGAAAAAGAAAAAAATGTATAGCAAATAAACTAATCATTAGTTATTCCTTCCTCCACGTAAAGAGTTTTTTTTTTATTTTATTATTATTTTTTTTAAATATATGTAAAACTAGTAGAGACAGCCTTGAAGTTGGGTGTAATTAAAAATTACACCACAAATTTTTTTGCAGATAGGCCTGGGAAGACAAAGGGCATTTACTGGTATGAGCAGCTACTTCAGTGGCAGCAAGCAAAGTGTACAAAATGACCTCTCTCAGTTTAAAAAATTGGGCTTTGAGAGGGACGGATGAGGCAGAGGGCAAAACTGAGAATGTATATATTCTTGATTTTTTGGGCTGCGTTTTCTCCCATTTTCCTCCCAATTTTGGGAGGAAAATGGGTCCCACCAATTCATTATTTGTTTATTATTATTATTTTTTTCACAGGTTTTTTCCCAAAACAAACAAAGGAAACTTTCTTTCCATCCTCGTTTTCTTTCCTCTCCTTCACTTTCCTCCCTATCCAAACAAAGGGTTAAACTGAGATGGGATTGACTTCACATTGTTTCATTTTTTAAACTGAAACGAGAAATATCGGCCGTTTCGGACAGAACAAAATGGTATTGGCAACATTGATTTTTCTTAAAAGAAAAGAAAAGAAATCATCATACTTTTTCATTATTGTTCACTCTATCGAGATGCAACCTGCCATGACGCACACCTTTTTGTACGCTCAAATTGCAATTTGTAAGGACGAAACCCTTGTCTCTAGTAGGCAAGTTTATAAGGCTAGATGTGGATTTTAATGCAGAACAGAAGAAGACTTGTCTAGTTGACTGACTAATCAATCCATATCCTACGTGAGGCTCTCCCTTTCAGACATAAATGTTGAAGCAGTTTTCAACTTCCTAATACCTTTCACCAACTTGGCAATTTAACAAGTTGACTCTGAGAAAAAAAAATCTTGCATGAAGGAAACGAGAAAAAAACTCTTGGTGAACTCAACGTGTTCTCATTATTAATTTCCAAACTCCTTTCTTGGAAACTTCAAAACAGACTCAGGAATCTGAAAAATGGAGAAGACTTGCCTTTGTTGACGTGAAGCTAAATAGATGAATTCATAGTTTTTATGTGAAATCATTTCTCAGGTTCTGACTTTAAAACTTTTTTGTTCTGTTTTTCTGATACAATTTAAAAAAGGACGCGGTTTCCAGGTTCTGCACTAGTCCTTTGGAGGCTAGAAAGCAACCTCAGGATTCAGGACAGCACATAGCTTTTATATCTACAACCGCAAATTTGAACCTTCTGTTGTTTTCTCCACTTCTTTTAGTCATTTCTCAACTTCATTTTCATTTGAGGCTCTCACTTTCTGATATAAATGGTGACGCGGTTTTCAACTTCCAATTCCCCACACTAATACTTCTCACGAACTTAGTAATCAATAAATGGGCTCTGAGAGAAAAATATATGTTTTAAAAATACAAAAGCCCCTTAGAAAACCTTCACATTTCCTCATATTCTTAATTTGAATTGAAGCTGCATATACAGAAGCAAGCAAGCCTGCAACCTCCTGATTACTGCCTATACGCAGTAATCAGGAGGTTGCAGGTTTGCTTGCTTCTGTATATGTAGCTTCAAATTATGATTATCAAGAAATGTGGTTTTCCAAGGGACTTTAAAAAAAAAAAATGATTTCAGGTATGCAATGAAAACTTGAGACAAACAGCAAAATATTTTTCTCTCGGAGCCCATTTGTTACAAATTTCCAAGTTCGTGAAAGGTACTAGTGCGGAAAAGAAGGACGTTGAAAACGAGGTAATAATTCACACCAGAGAAAGCGATAGCCTCACATGGATTGATTAGTCGGTCAACAAGTCAAGCCTTCTTCTGTTCTGCAAATTAACAAATGGGCCCAAAGAGAAAAATCTTTTGTTGTGTTGTCTCTATTTGTTTTGATGATTGGTTGCTTGAAATCAATTTTATTTTATCTTTTTTTTTTAAAAAAAAAAACTAATACAATAGTGAGGAATGGTATTGAAAGGGACATTGATTGTAAATAAACAAACATTGTTGGATTGGGTGTTTGGTAGCTAGGGCATCTTTCTCCTTGCTGTTCATTGACATAATTATATGCGTACAAATACAGTTATGATGGCATAACTTCGGATTCCCTGCCTGAGAGAGACTTGCAGCAGTAAAAACAATTCATGGAATTTGACATCTAACAAAGAAACGAAGGGTGGCAAGCATGATTGATTGGAAGGTAAGTACGTAGGGTCCATTGTCATTAACTTTGGCACTTAGCCATGCTTCAGAAATACCTCCATGTGACTTTTAATTTTGTTGTGTTTTTTTTTTTTTTTCCTTTTTGCATGCACCAACGACTTAATTTGGTGATGGACCTAATTAATGGCTCTCTGCTAAAAACCATATATGCGGTGAATTACTGAGTTTGTTTTTTTCCTTCCTTTCCTGTTTTTTTTTTTTTTAAAAAAAAATTAGGGCCAAACCAGATGCAATGCGATTAATGCAGTTTAGAGTATTTTTTATTTTTTTCAAATTGTTTCGTCTCAAAAACACTAAATTGATTTTTTGTCAACCAAAATATATTTTGAAACGTATTTCAAAAAACACCCGAATTATAATATCAAATATTGTTGCTGGTTTAATGACCTAGAGGCTCTTGCGGTGTTGTTTTTCACGAAGACAGTCATGTAGTTTCAAGAGTGCTTCTTGAGTTGATTACCGGGGTGGATTTTAGCAACATTACTGATTCCTCAAACAGTATTCTCAATGAACGGATTGATCATGTTTTGAGTACTTCTGATTCTTACAGCGTCATAGATAAGTCTCTGATTGGGCAAGGATTCGACGCTGAGATATTTCAGATGCTTAAAGTCGCTTGCAACTGTGTTGATTCCATTCCCGATCGAAGACCGACAATGCTTCAAGTGTACGAAGACATAAAAGCAATAAGGGAGAGATGTGAGCAAGTCAATGATACAGAGATGCTAATGCAACCCGAACTTTTGCCTGTCCCTTCAGAAAACAGCACTGTTGAGATTGAAATAGCAGAGTCCTGATGGAAACATGCAAGCAAATTTCAGCAAGTCTACATGTTTCAATTGTACATAATATAATATAATTGTGTCTGAGAATAAATTACCATAGATTTTATGTTAATTGATTACAACAGAACTTCAAACTTATCTTGTCTCACACAGATTAACCTGCTTTTTACTTGTCCAGAGAAATGAATTGAGGCTGTATAGTGAGGAAGCATCCATTCTATCTAGTGGACCAGAAAGTCCATAGACTTAAAAAGTAGACACGATTTTCCTTCTAAGTACGAAAAATTTCTGCTTAAATTGCAATTCGTAAGGAAGCAACCACTCTTTCTAGTGGACAATCTTATAGGTAGATGTGGATTTTAATGGAGAGAACTTTGTCTTTGTTGACTTCAAAGTAAATAGATCAATTCATAGTTTCTGTGTGAAATCATTTTTTCAGATTCTCACTTAATAAAGTTCTAGTTCTGTATGATTTACTCCAAATTTAAAAATTCTCAATTTCCATAGTTATCTGCTCATTTTATTAAAACATTTATTTTCGTAAAAAAATTGTTTATATGATTGGCTGTCTGGATAATCGGATGCCAGAATTTCTACTACTTTGTTAATTACTAAACTAGTATTCCGGTCAATGACGGAGCCCAGGAGAAGGGAGGGAACATTGCGATCCCTAGGCCCAGAAAGAAATACTACTATAGCCTTCTGCTGTCTCAAGCCAAGGCCCTAAGCAGTAGAACAATTCATATTTCCTTCCAATTTATTATATTATGATTTTATTATTCATTTTAAAAAAAAATTATATGTGGTATAACTCAATATATATTCTATAATTTATAATTAAAAAATAATTAATATATTTCATTATTAATTTTTCTTATAAGTCATTATCCAAAAAATCACGGGTTGGATTCTTAACAAATGTTACAAAACTAACCATTGATGCTTATTGGGCTCGTAAAAAAACTTTATGGGCTTTGTGTGCCGCCCGTATTATACATGGAGTGAAATTCAACAGTATATAGAGTTCGTTTAAACTGGGCTTCGGCCCACTAAAGGTTAACAATATGAAAGCTCACAAGCAGTTTATTTGATGGCAACTTTTTATATTTTTATAAATTGACAAATTGATCCTTACAGGCAATACTAAGGATATGAATAAAAAGAAGAGCAAGAATTGCGTCAAGATCCATTTGTACTTAACAAATAGCAAAGAGGATGAGATTCAAAATTGGAATTTTCAAGCACCGGGGATTAGCAAAGTCCAGGAGTTGAATTAGAGGATATTCAGAAAGTTAAAGGATTTGTTTTGTTTTTGTTTTTGTTTTTTGCATTCTCAGGCCAGTTTTTACATCAATTAAGAATAAATTTATTAACTTTTGAATTAAATCAATGTTAAAATATGTTTAACTTTTATAGACAACTAAACTCCTTTTTATGCTAAACTAATAAAAAATCAAGATAATTTTCTTATTACTAGAACATATTTTTCTATGATTGCAAGTTTGTTTGCTTCTGTATATACAACTTCAAGTTAAGAATATCAGGAAATGCAATGGTTTTCCAAAACAAGCAGAGACAAACAACGAAAGATTTATCTCTCTGAGTGCATTTGTTAATTTCCTAGTTCTTGAAAGGCATCGGTGTGGAAATTGAACTGAAAGGGACTTTGGTTGTAAATAAACTAACGAATGGGCTCTTAGAGAAAAATCTTTTGGCGTGTTGTCTCTACTTGTTTTGTTCATTGCTTCCCTGATATCAAATTTATTTTATTTTTTTTTAATAAGGAAAAAAAAAAAAAAAACTAAACTAATCTAACAGTGAGAAATTGAACTGAAAGGGACTTTGGTTGTAAATAAATAAACATTGTTAGATTTCTCTGTTTGTCAATTAAATTAAATGAGCAATGAAAAATATCCTTAATTTGG